CCCTACAGACAGGTTGATGGGCTTTGGGGAGGTTATGGGGGGCAGAGTGAGAGCTAGGGGTGTCTGCCACAGACGGATCAAGTCCTCAGACACACAAACTATCAGCTCAGGCCCCTTTGGCGGTCCCACGCGGCACACATCCCTCAGTGCTGCTCTGACCTCTGTGTGGATGTTGCAGGGCCTCTCTAGGCTCTGCACAGTGATCTTCCTCGGCCCAGAGGAAAGCCTTGGGGTCGGAGCCCAGAGTCCTGCCCAGCAGAGGCTTCAGCTAAATGGGTCACCTCTGCAAGGGCGCTCTGGGTCCCCGAGTACAGTACACCCTGCGGTACGTGCCGCATCCCTAGAGCCACAGTAAGAGCACTAAGTGCACACCTGGTAACGTCTTCTTGAGTAGCTTCAGGGTGTGCTCTACCAGCTCTGGTGTCCTTCCATAAAGTGAATATTCAAAGGGCATGGCACACACAGCCAGGCTTGGCTCCATGCTCACTGCTGTCTCCACGAGAGCAGAGGCGCTGTGTAGGAGGCCATCTTGCTCGCTAGAACAAGAGCGCAGACATTCGGCGCAGGGTCAGGAAGAAAAGAGGGAGACCTGAGTCCGGCTACCTGATCTACTTTAGACCCAGAGATGGCACTAGGTATTCTGAGGAGTGGATAGGACAGTCTGGACCAGTCAACAGACATACTGGAAATCAGAGGCACAGAGAAGGCAAGTAATTTGCAGCAGGTCACACAGCTGTGAATGAGGCTTTGAAAACCAGAGTGGTGTCCCTTTCTTTATGAGGACAGAAGAGAGACTCCACAGATGGGTATGGGCCCCGAATCTCTTGACATGCACCTTCTCTGTAATATGGGAACAACCACAGTCAAAGTGGGTTTTCTCTGGGCTGTCTCCTTGATGCTTCAGGGTGGGGTGGGGTGGGGCACATTTCCTTCTGATTCCCACTAGTCAGCCTTGGAGGTCCGAGGTATACAAAGGGCCCTCTTCACCCGTCCTTAGAGGTGTCCTTAAGGGTGTCAGGGAGTGTTCCCATGTTCCCATTTCCTCATCCCCTCGGTCGCCTCTCTCCTCTCCCTTGGGTAAACAGGAGACTATTCTGCTGCCCCTATGGGAGCCTCTGGATCTGCCTGGGAGGCTGGGAGCACAGGGATAAATGGCTGAAAGGGAGGTGGAGAGAAGGCCAGGGAGCTCAGGAGCTGCAGGCTGTGCTCTAGGAGTCTTGGCCTGGAGAAACCTTCCTTATTATGGCCAAATTCATCTTTGTTTTCCTTCCCAGTGACATCTGGCTTGCCCTGAGGTCTCACGAATTACAAAAAGCAGGAGCTTGAACTTGTGTTTTATTGCCTCAGGAAGTGCACTGTCGCTCAGGGGAAGGGGTGGCTCTGCCAAGCCACTCTCCACCTGGTCAGGCTGAGCCTGGAGGTGGAAATGAGGAACCAGAGTGTTTATCATTCCCATTATCTCAGGTGCACACCCGGATGCCAGGCCCTGCCCAGCCTTTCCTGTTGAGGGCCACTTCTACCAAGCTCTGTTTTCCACACCAGGGAAGCCCTGGCAACCCGGCTCGCACATCCTGCTCCAGTCTGGGGACCTCAGAAACAGAACTGAATTTGCTCACCTTGCCTAGGAATGTTGGGCATCATGCCCACCAGAAAAGGAGGATAGTCACTCACTCAGCTGGGGAGACTGAGAGCCACATGGCTGAAAGAGCAGGTAACCGCCTTATTGGGCTAGCGGCTGAGCCCCATACCCCTCATCTGGTCTAGAGGTTGGAAATCCTTGTAAAAAGGAGCCTCAGACCTGTGGCCTATTCCACATAGTGTCCCTCCCCTCTGAGGGGTACATCTGGTCAACCTAGATATCCATAAAACCTGCATGACTGTTAGCCAACTCATTCGCAGGGTTAGAACTCAGGAGAATCCCAAGTGTCCATCGGTCCCTGGGGTCCAAACCTCTCTGGGTTTGTAAAGTGGGGGCAGTGATATTGGCTGCCACTCTGGGTTGCTGCAAGGACCCAGCGAGATGAGGCAGGCCAGCGCTGGATCTGGCGAGCCTGAGGTCTTAAAGTGAGGTAGACTGCCCCCTGGGTTATTTCTGACATCTACCTCTACGTGGCATGGAGCAGACATTTAGTGCACAATGGCAAACATTCCCCAGGGCCAGCTCTGAACAGGCAGAGTAGCCTCAGCAAATCCCACTGGTGACCACCCTCAGGGCACCCAGGGGGTAACACCGCTCAGCGGATGCTACAGTGGGTTTGTGTCCACTGTAAGAGCCAAACACTGTTCCAGTAGTTTCCAGAGGGTTTTGAGCGACACCCCCACCCCCCAATTCTGTGACGTTTGAACCAGGGATTGGGTGGCCTGGCTTTGTGAAGGCCAATAATGTTGGCAATGGGGCTCAGCAGGGACTGTGAGACAGCTCTACCCCACTTCCCCGAGGAAGCCCAGCAGAGGGCTCCCCACCCATACCATCAACCCTGGTGGCTTGCAGCCCTTGGGATACACTCAGCGCGCCAAGGATGCTGAAGGGAAGACCTGGCCTAAGGATCCCAGGACACAGGCAGGGGAGACTACAAAGCTGGGAGGGACCAGGCAGTCATCAAACTCATCCCACTTAGGCTTGTTCATTGAGCACCCATCTAGACCAGACAATGAGCTGAGTTCTGATGCTCATTGTCACTGCTGAAGAAGATGCTGGTGACCCCTGGCGCGCAGCACGCAGACCCAGAGGGAACAATGGCCAGGCAAGGAAGCTCCCTCTGTCTGTGTGCTGCTTGTCCTGTGCTGGATCCTGTGCACACTTGTGTGTGCACACACATCTGTGCTGACATGAATGAGCGAGGTGGGTTCTCTTCCCTCTTGGTGGTGGAGGAAATCCAGATCCATTAAATTTACCATCGTCCCACTGCCCTGGCATGTGGGAGGCAGAGAATGAATCAGAAAGCCCCAAACTCATCCTGCTTGCGGCGCAGCAGGGAAGGGAAGACCATTCCAGAAGGTGGTGGGAATGCCTCTCTTGACATCCCCTCCTGCCTGCCTCAGAGGAGGCTGCAGCTAAGCCTGGCCCTCCATGGTGGGCAACCCCACTGGCTCAGATCTTGTGGCCCAGTGACCTAGCCTGTCGGCGTTTGCATTTACAGATCCTCGTGTAGGAAGGAAAATGAGTGTCTTCCAGTCATGCAGAAATGAAAATACGTGGAGACCAATCAGAGAGATTTCCTGGAGGTGGTAAGTCAATTACATGAATAACCCAGTGACAGAGGAAGAGCTTGACAGGGACCTGGAGGGCTGGTGGGTGGCCCACGGCAAGCCCAGAGCATCCTGCAGGGAGCTGTCCAGGGGTGTCTTCCATATGCCAGTCTGAGCTGGCACAAGCAACAACATGGTGGTGTGCCAGGTACACACGGCCCTCCCTTCTCTCCCCAATCATCAAGATCACAGCACCTCCCATGAGGGTGGATTCCGCCAGAAAATCAGTCCTAACGTGATATTCTCCCTCCCTGCGTCTGTCTAGCTCCCGGGCAGCACCAAGCATCACATCTGTTCCTTCTCTCTCTGCTTTTCCCTCTCTGTGCACAAGAGTGGCTGTGGCCCTGCAAAACACAGTCGCAGATAGCATCATTTCACCAGCTTGATGGGCTCCCAGTGCCAACTGGGGACAACCACATTTTCTAGTTTCTGCCCTTCGGTGGAAGGGGTGGGTGAAAGCGTGACCCCAATGTGTCCCTATCCACAGCCTTCCATGCACAAGGCCAGGAATTATCCACAAGGCTTTCCTACCTCTTCCCAGGCTGGGAGCCAAGTGCATTCTGGCCAGGTATGGCTGAATTCTCTGGGACCAGCCCCTGGGATTTGGGGGAGATGATGAGAGAATCCCAGCCCTGAGAAGTTTCTGAAACCTTCCAGCAACTTGCAAGGGCAATGCCAGGACACAGTGACCGCTCCCTTTGTCTTCCGCCAGCCCCAACCTCTGAGTGGCTGCCTGGGAACCTCCTGTTTCTGATCGCTGGGAGGAAGCACACACCCAGCCAGACATAATGAAGCCACATCCTGGCCTCAGGGTAAGAGGGACGGGTGTGACAGTTACTGGGATCAACCCCACAAACAGGAGCGGGAGATTTTCTGTTATTTAGAGGAACTGGGCTTCAGCTCACATGATCAGATAGTTCTATTCATGGGCCAGGGGTCCCCCGCACTCTAAGTCCATTCAGCACTTTGGTCAAGAAGCCCAAACACACTAAGTTCGGGGCTATGCATTCAGAGTCGGCGGCTCCAAGCCAGGAGCTGCCAGCCTGGCTGCCTTCTGCTCCACCTTAGTCAGCCCGACTCCGGCTGAATCTCCAGCCATCTGTCCCTCCACGGTGCTCACACCTCCTCCCCGCTGTTCCCACAGCCTGGCTCTGGGCCTGCCCTACACACAGATGGACCGTTCCCAAAGGCTGTGAGAAGGATCAGAGCCGGAGGCTGTGCCTGCACCTGGCTGTCAGGACCCCAGGGAGGGCGGTCATGAGCCCCCTCCCCACCACCAGGAAGGATGCTCAGCCCCAAGGCCTTAATGGCTGATCCTGGGACCAAAATAAGAAGGGGGGAAGGGCTAGAGGAAGCAGCAGACCCTCTCCTGCCAGCCCCATCTCCCAGGCGGTTGCCCTCTGCTTCTCCAGTCAGTACCGAGCACTGGCATTCAGGCTACCAGTCTTTGTCAGGAAACCCAGAACCCCAGGGGGCGCCTGCGGGTGGTGGTGAATCCGTACTCCACCACCGACTCATCTCCCACCTAAATGTTAACCACACACACCCTGGACAGGTCAAGCTGTCTGCTCACCTAGGGTGGGTGCACTCGGTCAAATGAGTGGGCAGAGTTGGCTCCACCCTGCCGTGGGCACGAACTTTGTAAAGTGGCCGGGAAGGGGCGGAGGGCGCAGTGCGGACCCCCGGGAGGGCAGTCATCGGCAGAGTAGGGTGACAGCGTCGGCGTTGAGCGGGGCAGAGGCGGCACTTACGGTCTGGGCTCCAGCGGACTGTCGCTCTCTCGCAACCCGGTTCTCCAAGTGGCTTTTCCTTCTCACTCGGTCGCCACCTCCATAACTTGGGGGCGATCCACACGCTGTCTTCTCGCGCCGCGCGGGGCTCAGGCGCGCGGCGGGGTCGGGGCGGGCGGGGCGGCCGCCTGGGCCATGCCGAGTGCGCTCGGCCCCCAGCGCGGGAACAAAGCGCGCACGCCGCCCGGGCGGTTTCGGCCTCGGCGGCCGCCGGGTCCAGCCGCCGTGCCTCCCGCTCTGCTGCCGCGCGCTCGCCCGCGCGTCTCACGGAGCCCCGCGGCCCCCGCCCCGCGCGCTCCGCCCCCGCCTCCCGCGCCCGGCCGCCGCTGCGCCACCTGCCTCCAGCCCGGCGCCCATCGCGCTCGCTCCGCCCCGGGGAGCCGGCCGCGGGAGAGAGGCCCGGTTCCGTGCGCCCGGCGCCGCCCAACGCCCAGAGCGGCTCCCGCCTCCACCGCCTGGGTGGCCGCCGGGCCCGGGACGAGCCCGGCGGACTTGGCTATGGGACCCAACTCAGGACTCGGGGACCTCAAGAGCGCCAGGCCACGCGTGGAACCCCGTGTTGGTGCAGGAGCGCGGGGCTGTGGAGTGAGAACGGGCCGAGGAGCCCCAGCGCTCAACCAGTGTGCGGAGTGCGCGCGGCGCGGGGCAACCTAGTGCGGGGCGGACTCCTCGCTGTGCGCCCCCGCCCCGCGCAGGCCGCGCCCCGGGAGGGCGGGCGAGCTGAGCGCACCGCGCACACCCACCTCGGAGCAGTCGCAGCCCGACGGCCTCGCTGCTCTTGGAGCCGCGGTGTCTACTCTCGGACGGGAGGCGGGCGCCCCTCCTTCGGCCGCCGCGCCCCCCACAAGCCCTCCCGGGACTCGGGCCACCAGCGCGTTCGGCCGGCAGGGGGCGCGCTACTCCCGCCACGCACGGCCTTGGTCCCCTAGGCGCCAGGCGACCTGCTGCAAGAGGGGCTCAGGATCTGGTTCTCCCCACCGCCCTCGGGCCCATCGTTCGCATATGCTTTGCATTCGTTTGCATTTCATTCATTTTAATGTCAACCTGAGGAAAAGCCCCCAGCCGCTATTTCTGCCTGTCCGTGTCCTACTTTTTCCTCTTCCTCCGAGCCTTCTCCCCACCCACTTTGCCCACTTTGCCTGGAAGCGCCCTGTGACAAGTCCCAGGCGTTCCTTTGGTTAGTACATTTGAGCAAATTCGCTGCACTTTCTTTCCTTCTCTTCCCACTGTTCCTCATACACTTGGCTTCTTTGAGACTAGGGGAGACCCAGGGTCACGGTCTGCGGAAGCAGAAGGGGCCAGAACTTCAGATCAGCGGGGGCCTTGATTTTAATCTCATTAAGCATAAATTTGCATGTGAAGAATAAAAATCTAGCAATATACCAAAAAAAAAACAACAACAACAACAAAAAAAAACCTCCCACTCCACGTTTGCTGCTTGCCTCTTAGGAATCCACAAAACAGCAGTCCTCCCCCATCCTGGCCACCTTGGTCCCCTAGTTCTCTCTCCGTGGAGAATGGTATCCAACCCTAGTCTGGCACCGACAATGTCCACATTTCAGATCTCTCTTCATGGCTGTACCTGAGCACACGGGCTGTATCCATTCTGGAGCAGAGCAGAGGGTCCTGAGTCCATTTCAGGGTTGGATATATGGCTTGAGACCATAGACTTCATACACTAGACATATGGACACCAGCTGTGTGGACTTCTAGCATGAAGGGACTTTTGTATATGCACTAAGAAAGCAAAGCACTGTTCCCTTCTGAGATACTACCATGCAGCATTGCCTGGGTGGAGTGGATTGAAAACAGAAGTCTAAAGCCAGTCTCTGGGAGGATCCAGCTCCTGCATCAGTCTTAAGCCTGATGCAGGAGCTGGACCCTCAGGTTGGGCTGCAGGCTTTCCCACCTGGTGCTGGTGGTGTGTCTGTTTTGTGGCAAGCAGCCATTGGACTTAAGAAAGTGACACATGTCTTTAATCCCAGCACTCAGGAGGCAGAGGCAGGCACATCTTTGTGAGTTCAAAACCAGCCTGGTCTATAGAGCGAGTTTCAGGACAGATGCCAAAGCTACACAGAGAAACCCTGTCTCCAAGAACCAAAAGGAAAATAAAAAGCTCACAACCCCTGTTGGAGATACAGATTCCAATGTAATCGTGAGCCTCCCCACTCAGGAAGCTCTCCTGAGAAAGCCATGGCTGCTGGATAGGGAAGTGGACGGTGGAGCACTGAGGGCTCCTTTGTGTGCAGTGGGCGGGTCCCACAGCAGCACTGTCACTGAGGTCCTGACAGCTGCAGTCCCTACATTTTCCACGAGCTGGAAAGGTATTTCCAGGACCCATTTGTTAGGCAGAGAAGCCTAGTCTCTTGCCCTCCTGGCCTCCCTGCTCCTTCACTAAGGTCTGGTTCCTTGTGGGAATGGCCAGGTCACAGTTCTTAGTCATGCTACCTTCAGGAAGCTCTCAACCACACAAAGGTATGTATACACACCCACTCGGAACAACAAATAATCACCTAGCATCAAGGGTCTAATGGACACTAGAGACAGTGAAGTCAGGAAACCAGGTGCTGCCTGACGCTTTTATTGTGTTTGTTGTCTATAGAGACAAGGCTCAATTCAGTTCAAAGAAGCCACTGTCCCTTGCTTATGGCATTGTGGCGTTCCCCAGTAAAGCCAGCTCTACATCTTTATCTGGTCCCCGCCTCCCATGGAGGATCTGAGAGGGGCTCCTTGGCCCTCTCTTGACTGCGCCTGGTCACGGCCTCCAAAACTGCAGAGAAACCCTGTCTCTCTGTACACCCAGGGCAGAGCCATCACCAGGCTCATATGCCTTGACTCATAACTGGGGGCTCTTTTTGGAATGGATATCCTTTTCTCTAAAGAAAACAATCTCAGGGCCACCATTTCCAGCAGCACCTGGGTTCATTCTGCCATCCTGACCCCCCCACCACCAAAAAAAGGTAGCATCTCTTTTCCTCATAGCTCCCAGCTCAGGATTTTGATATAAACAAAATTGACATGAAAATATTTGCCCAGGGATTCTTGACCCACAGTTCATCTATTAGGATTAAAACTCTTTTCTGATACCCTATAAAGCCTACAACGGAGCCCTGCCAAGTGCCAGGCACTACCCCTTCCTACCTTGCTCTCTGTAGCCCTGGGAGATGATCTTTCTGCCAGTCTGCCTGCCTGAGGAGGATGCTGGGGACCTGAATGTCACAAGCTAGTGTTTGGCAGAGCTGAGTGTTCCATTCGTCCAGCCCAGCCCGAGTCCCAGCTGTCACCTGCTGTTGACCTTCAATAATAATTCCGAATAGCTTTAGACTCCCTTAAACACGTCCCTGTGATATCGAAAAATCTTTAACAGGAGTTTAGATATCTGCCAAGAAAAGTTGACAAAAATACTGGTATTTTAAAATAAAAGAATATCTAGGCCAGGCATGTTGGCACACAGTTTTAATCCCTGCTCTTTCTCAAGAAGCAGAGATAGGCAGATCTCTGTGAGTTCAAGGCCAGCATTGGCTAGATAGTGAGTTTTAGTCTAGCCAGGGCTATACAGTGAGACTGTCCAATAAAATATAATAAGACAAAATAGTATCTAGTGGGTCATAGATAATTATAGGTGTTGTTTTTTTTTTTTTTTTTTTTTTTGGTTTTTTCGAGACAGGGTTTCTCTGTGGTTTTGGAGCCTGTCCTGGAACTAGCTCTTGTAGACCAGGCTGGTCTCGAACTCACAGAGATCCGCCTGCCTCTGCCTCCCGAGTGCTGGGATTAAAGGCGTGAGCCACCACCGCCTATGTTTTAAAATAAATTCTCCTTAAAAACCTTACTCTGGTCCAAACAATGAGATCTTATGTACAACCAAATATATCCTCTGTGGAAGAAAAGTGTGAAGTATTAGAACTTAGAAGTGTGAAACTTCCACTGTGCAATGACATTGTTGAAAGAATAAGACATGTCACAATCTCGATAGCGTACGTGTAAACGCAGATCTGGAAAAGGGCTGTCACCCAAAATAAGCAAAGAGTCCGTAAGATTAAACAATAAGAAAACAAACAACCCAATTAACGTAGGTCAGATGCCTGAACAGATGTCTCTCAAGGCGAAGTACCCGAGTGCCTGAAGACCCACACTTCACGAGTAGCCAGGGTGCACACACACACACACACACACACACACACTAAATGCAGCTTTAAACACAAATAAACAGAGTCTTCCAGGCTGGAGATGGAGTTCGGGTGATAAGTGCAGTTGCCCAGTAGGCACAAAGACCCGGTTCGATCTCCAGAACCTCATTAGCTGGTTATGGTGGCGCATGCCTGGAACCTCAGCACTCAGAAGGTGGTGGCAGGAGGATACAAAGTTCAGAACAAAATAGACCTACCACCACCACCACCACCACCTCCACCACCTCCACCACCACCTCCACCACCTCCACCACCACCTCCACCACCACCTCCACCACCTTCACCACCACCTCCACCACCTCCACCACCTTCACCACCACCTCCACCACCACCTCCACCACCTCCACCACCACCTCCACCACCTTCACCACCACCTTCACCACCACCTCCACCACCACCTCCACCACCAACACCACCAAAAGCAAATGAACAAAAACTGTCCAGAAGGAAGCCTGCCAGCACCTGCTTACAGCAATCGTATTTGTAGTTGCTCAAAGTCAGACGCAGTGGATCAGTCACTGAATAGGCATCGCTGCCTGGGACACATCAGATGGTGGATGTTATTCATTTGTACGAAGATGAAAAAACCCTGAGGTGTCTCAAGTACACCGTGTGGAGAGAAGAAGCCCATTGGGGAGGGCAGCTCTCTGTGGCCCAACTCTGACATAACATCCTCCAAAAGGGAAGAAGGAAAGGGCAGTGGAAAGATTTGAGTGTCTGGCTTCTGACTTTTCAGGCTCAGTATGAGCCCTTTGTGCTCCCCAACCTCTGAACCCCTGGATCCAGTTGGGTCAGGTGGGGGTAAGGCAGGGAGGCTACTGTGGATGACGTGTTGATGGCGGACACTATCATTAGACATTTGTCTGGACGCACAGAATACCCAACTCCTTGTTGGATCTTCTGAGGAGTTCATTGTAAACACTGGTTCTGGTCAGTAATACTGTGTCTCTGTCCCCTCCTTTGTCATTAAAAGTGCCTGTCACCAGTGCCCCTGCTGGTGTTGTGGGGATTCAGGGGCAGCTCTGTTTTCTGATCAGTCTCCCTGCAAATCCAAATCAGCTCTAAAATGCTTGGTCTATTTATTTTAAAAAGCCTGGGAGACGAAAAATAAAGATATCAATGACATTTTAAGCATCTTATGTAAATAGTAAAGGGTACACACAATTGAGAAGGCATAGGGGAATGGACGCTGGTCTAGCACCTGGATTCTTACATGGCTCCTCTTCTCCTCAATGCATATTTCTATTCTGCTCAACAAGGTTTAGCCAGCTGCAATGTCAGATGCTTATAATCCCAGCATATGGGAG